GTTTTAAGCATAAAGTGCATGTGGGAGGTATAATAGAGGGTCATAGGCAATTCGGTGGGTCAGAGGCAAGTGGGAGGTATAATGGACTGTCATAAAGAGCACCTCTTGGACCAAGTAAAAGATAAATTCCACCATCTCGTAACATCAGCTCTGTAAAGTGCACCTCTTGGACCAAGTAAAGTGCACCTCTTGGGTGTAAAGTGAGAGAGAGAAAGAGAGGAGATACATGTGCTCTCTCTGAAGAGATATGCAGTGGCACACAGTCTGGTAAAGCATTCCATGAAAAGCACATAGTTTCACTAATTCCTTTTATTCCGAAACTTGTATTCCAAGTAGCGGGTTTTTGGAAGTCGCGTATTCTACAGGCTTTTACAGAGACTTTCAAAAGTGGCAAGCTAGAGTCTTCACTGAAATGGACTTGCCTTTCTGCAATTGAAGAAATGCTGGTTCCGAGACAAGGCTTGAAGCAGCTAGATGCAAGTGATCCAGAATTGTTAGACTATCAGATTACTTGGATGAGAGAGCTTCCTCTGCTGTTAATCATGTTAGATGATAAACACCCATTACATTCCAGGAGTGTACTGAGTCTTCTACTTCGGCTGGGACAATGTGCTGTTGCAAACACTTTCTTTGCACAGGAGTATGACAACATGCAGGAGCTCATTGGCATAGGAGGGGTTGTGGTGGCGGAAGACAACAGAAGCGGCTGTCATAGCGGCGGTGGTCTCGCCGGCGAGGTCCGATCCGGGGTTGTTCGGGTAGATCTTGTAAACTTGCCTTGAAGTGGGCATGTCCTCTGGCCTTTGAAGGTAACCAGATCTCTGAGCATTGTAAGTAACAATAGAGAGTATATTAACCGAACCTAGAAGAGTACACAGAGATGTTCTGACAAGAAAAAATGATAGCGGAATAAGTTGAGGTCCGGCAGGCGGCTAAGGTGAGGTTGCCGCCCGCCGGGGAAGCGAAAATATTAGGTTCTAAACCTGCTCTGATACCATGTAGAAAATCAATGTATAAAGAGAACAATACAGAGAGAATAAATGTATTTGATGATCTTATTATTGATTGATATATTGATTGATATATACTGTCTATTACAAATGGTTCCTTATATAGATGTAGGTGTAGTGGGTTAGGTTTAGTGGAGTAGGTGAGGTGGTAGTGGTGGTAGGTTTATTGATAAATTTTAACATTTAATAATAGTCATAAACCAAATAGTCGACAGGGAAGGAAATTTAAAATAACTTCAAGATGCAAGATGTGAAAGAATCGGTAAAGCAGCATCCAATTTATAGAGAGATGACAGAGAACTTGGTCAATGATTGTAAAGCAATTATTTCATTTTCATCAAAAAAATATTGGATAGTAAATGAAATGCTTTACAATTTCTGACTTTAAAACATTAATTGTGTTGGAGACTAGATCAAGGAGTCCATCATAAGCCTGAATTCCCCAACCCAGATATGCTATTTCCACTTAAAATAAGCAAATCCCTGGAAGCATACCTCCACAACATTTACTTCTAATGTAATTGAAAATCCTATATACAGTTCAACATAAATAGTTACTCCCCAAAAATTGATCTAAACTATTGCAGTCATTCACTATTATTTTTTCATTCAGTAGTTAATTAATTTAATTCTATGATTCATTAAAGCCACTGAGACAAAAGATAAAGATCGTCCTCACGACAGTGTCATCAAAGATTTCACAAGAGTTAATTGAGTGTATTTTATGATATTGGATACCAAGGAACAAGATATCTTCTTACTTTTGACAGTAGGTATCAAACATCCACCGCAGTTTATTTGACGCAGTATGAAGGTGGCTGATTTCAACTAAAGCATCATAAAGTTCCGGACTGTAAGGGTATATTTGCAAGCCTTGTACAACAGACTCCCATACTTCTGATAGTCTCAATTCTACATGATGTCGCCGAAGCATCCTCACGTAATAGTTGAACAAAAATTCAAGTTGATAGCTTTGGCTTCTTCTTTCTGCAGTTGAATATATTGCATTATTCACAATCAAGAACCACTTTACATCTCCGTTTGTTTGAACCAAACTTTGGTAAGTTATTTTACGAATGAGTGTTCAGGATGGTACTTAGTGTTGTCGCGTGTGGAGGTCATGTGAGTTGGGTTGGGGCGGCTGAGGGATTCATATTGGGGTGTTCAATAAGTGTGGTATGGAGTGTGTTTCATATCAAATGTCAGGCTAGTACAAATTTCAGCCACAAGTTTAACTATTTTTGAAAAAATATTTACATTTCCAACCAGACACCGAAAAAAAGATAAAAAGTACAAAAAAGTCTTGTACAACGTTTGACATGGAAAATATTTTTAAAAGGTAAAATCTTTTACGGTGAACATTGAAATTACAGAAAATAAAGGGGGGAAAAGTTTTCAAAAAAAAATCTTGTAAAAAGTTTTACATGGTAAAAATATTTTATGGCGAAACAAATGGAGTCCAGTGAAATTATAGAAGATAAAAGGGAGGGGGGAATCATTGACAGAAAGTCTTGATTACCAGGAAGCACCATGGAGAAAGCCTGCTTTAGAACGTCAATACCAGCAACACATCCAGCAGTCAACTCCTCAAATAAAGCGGCTGAACAAATGAGAGCAATAGAATGATCATCTATTACGCCACGTGCCCATGTTGATCTTTGAATTCTAATCCGTTCCTTAAACCCTTGGCGAGCTCTCAGCTGTTGCAGATTTGATGGTTGACATTTAAATGCAGTGTACTTTACCCCACTCCCAAAACAACAGAGAATGTGTATTGCACGCAATAACGACTCTGAAACACTTCCGGAACTATTATCCATTTCCATTTCAGCATACCAGAAATACAAAAGAGATGTGTTTGACCGAAGATCCTGCTAAATCCAATCAAACAAATTAATTATCATTTCACTTGGCAGAAGCACTACGGGCTAGAAGACCAAGACAGTGACATTTAAGTATAAAAGATTTACTGGTATGAACTATCATTATAACAAGAATGGATGAACTAAAATTCAAAATGTTCAATCATACTCTTTGATAGTCCAAGTCCCTAGAAAAAAATTGAGGGATAGGAAACTCCTTGCAGATCAGCAAGGAAGGTTACCAACAAATCATGTCTACGTGAGGAACTAAGGGTAGTGCAAAAAGACAATGAACCACAATTTAAGACAAGAAACCTACATACTTGGAAAGTATCGGACACCTATCCCATAGCATTCGGGTGTCCAACATGGGTATTTGATTTATTTTGATAAGTCCACGTAATATAGACAACAATTGATATTATTAGCCAATCAGCTTATTTCTGTAATCGGATAAATTTGGAATATAACTCCATGAAGGCTTACCCACTCGGCAATTGGCAATTGGTTTTATGAGCCCATGGCCCATTTAGCTCTACAATGATCATTATGATCCAATTTAGTTGGGCTCAATCCCCTCTGAAAGCTCAAGATCTTTTATGGCTTGTTTCAGTTATTTAGCTCTAAGTGGCTCATTTCGGCTATTTAGCCCAATGGGTTCAGCAAATTAGATATCCAGATTTATTATAGCCCATAAATTGCACAAAGCCCAAGATCCTTAAAAGTGGTTCAACACCAACATTTGGCCCATTAGAGGTTATAATCTCTTAGCCCAACCCATTCCTGGGGCATTCACTCAAAAATCAACAACAAATGGCCCATGGTAATGATGCATGGGCTCAACAATCTTGAGAAATCCCAAGGCCCTCAATGGCTTGGCACATCATATTTGGTTCAAACAAGGCCCAACTGAACAGCACCAACATAAACTATTATTTTTCTGCTCAAAATTCTAGCTTGTTAGCATTTCCTAAGCCAATTTAGCGATGGGCAACCTTCCAGAGCTAGGACCTCTTTTGGACTGGCCGAGCACGCCTAAGCCTTGGGAGATCAATCTGGCAGCCATCCAGCCCAGAATGGCGTGCATTTTTTGTCTGTTTTTCAGTCCTCAACAAGGGCTCAGATCACAAGCTAATGATCTACAGAGAGTTTGACAAATGATCAGCTCACTCAATAGGTAATTCCTTGAGATAAGTGGTCTGGAAGACAAGAATGAGCAGGGACTTTGGCATGTATCCTTCAGCAGCAGAGTACAAAGGAAATGAGTTGGTTCTCATTTGAACCTTGTAAGATCATTTAGATATGTACCATATACATGTCTGGCACCCTCCATGTCATCTTCCTATTGATTGATGTCATTTCAGTCCTTTCCATCCTTTTCAGCAAGTACAAGTCACTTGAAACTAACAAAAAACGATAAGTTCTGATCTTTTCCACTTCTTTCATATCCTCCTAGGCATTAAATGCCCACAACACCTGTCTCAACTACAATACACCCCTTTTTCTATATATGAAAATCTTTTTTCCTCTATTAATGCAACAAGATTGAGAGATTCTAAATCTAGCTACCATTACTGGGAATCTTCTCTTCGATTTTGATAACAAAGTGCGCGTCCCTTTCATTTTCATATCTTCTTCTTTTTGCACTTCATTATTTTCCACCATTTCACCCACATACTTTCAATTTTCTTTACCTACGGAAAATTTGACAAGTGGATGCAATTTTAAGCACCAGGAGAAAAGAGTCCAAGGAGACCAAAAGAAGTCATGGCTGCATATAATGGAAAGATGAGAAGAAACAAGAATATTGGTGGATAAAAAGAGGTTTATCCATACTCTATAAACCATAGCCTTGGACACAAGCTAATAGAAGTGTGATCTCATAAATCAAGTTTCATGCAATACACTAATGAATTAATTAATTAACTATCGCAATAAGGTCCAATTCACTTTGTATCACACGCAATGCTCAACATGTTGGGAGAAGTAAGGAGATTCCTTTACTTTGATTCATAGATAATGGAGAGCAGTGTGTGACATTTCTCCTTTCTCTTCTTCTTTTTCCTTTTTGGAGGACTTGTTCTCCTAATCTTATACTTTGTTTCTTTATTAATAAAATTTTGTTGATAAAAAAAAATGTTGGGAGAAGTGTGATAAAAGAAACAAAGAGATCTTACCGATGGAAGCCCTTCAATGGATGCCAAGGCCATGTCGAACACCTTTCTCGCATGATCAATATTCCCATAGGCAGCCTCTCTTCGTGCATAAACTCCGCACAACAATACATCCTATAACAACAAATTACAAAAAAAGACAAAAGAAGGAATCCAACAACGCTATGTAAGGCTGAAGTGCCAATCAAAGAATAATGGAGTTTCACTTCAATCAATCTCATGCTGTAATTTAACAAGGATGACATCATAAACAAACAAGATCCCAGATGAAACATACACATTAATGGCAAATCGTTACGCAATTAAGAGGTGGCTTTGGTTACAAGCATTAATCAAGAAGCACGGACACTTCTAAGGAAGTGGCATGTTGTGTCGGACATCATATCGAACACTGACACAACATGACATTCATCGGACACTTCTCGACACCAATCGGACACGCGTTCAACATGTCCTATTTTTTAAAAAAAAAAATCTAGACTCGGACACATTTCAGACACTTGGGAAACACATGTCTATCATTTAGACACACATGAAACACATTACAAGTTTGAATAAAATAATGGAATCCAATGATAAAAGAAAAACAATGAAACCTATTTTCCTCCTTTAGACTTTAAAAAAGCAAAGATTGATTACATAAAAGTCAAACATCTCAATTACCAACCCACGATTCACAATCCAATAATGTCAAAACCATGTCACTGAACTATGTTGAGCTCATGGAATATAATTTAAAGTCCTAAAGTCATATCAATATGAAAGAACAATGTGCATGTTTCGCATAAGAAATAAAATCACCTGACGATTACTTTTCACGAGGCGCTTTGCTAAAGCACGACGAGGGGTGACTGAACAGCTACAAGAATTCATTTTTGTATTCCATAGCTCTTCAGCAACAAGAACTGCTTCTTCTAAAATGTAGTTACGTGGGAATGCAGTCAAACAAAGTAGGGTAGCATTGCAGAGAAATTTCATCATGTCAGTCCTCATAGAGATGTCATTTGAGCTGCCCAAAAGGAACTCAAAACTAAAATTACTTGGACTCCTTTCTGTTTTACTTATAACATCATGGACCCTTCTCAAATGATCTAATATAGAATCTGGCAGTGACTCTAAGCTTAGAGTTTTTGCGGACCAACTTGAACTGTTTGTGCAAGTCCTGTGCAAAAAACAAATAAATATAAATATATACATAACAACAAAACATTTGTACAGTTACAGTTAATTCAGTAATGTATTGCAAGAGTGTCATCATCCAATCACTCATAGACATACTACTAACCACTTAGATATCCTCCCACCATAGAAATCAATGAATTGGAACACAAGAGATAAACGAGCTTCCTCTGAACTTATAGAGAATAGGTACTCGCTGACATCTTCAAATAATATAACTCTCAAAAGTTGCTCATCGCCCTCTCTATCAGCTGTTCCATCACTGTGAGAAATCCCAGCTGTTTTGGAGTCATAATTAATTTATTATCATCAGAAATAGTTAAATTTGATTTATTAGAAAGAAAGAAAAAAAAAACTAATCAAAAATGATTTATTAGGGAAGAAAGGTTGTATGTAACATTTGCTTCTTTTTTTTTGGGTAGGTAAACAATTGCTTTGAATGAACATGGAAACATACAATCCAAACATGTTTATATGCAAACCAAAGGAAACTTTGAAGCATTTTTTTTTTTTTGGATAAGTAAGCAAATATTATTAAGAAAGCATCAAGATGATGCAACCATAGTTGTCAAATCGAGATTCGTATCGTCTTATAGATTCGTATCGAACCGAATCGCGAATCGAATCGAATCGTGAATCGTAAAGATTCAGTCACTTTTTTAAAATTACTTAAAAATATATATTTACACATTTAGATGTTAAATATATCTTATGAATATGAAATATTTAGACTTAAATCAATGAAAATGTTATTTTGGGTGATAATCACGTAGTTTAATAGGTAAGAAGTTAACAAAATTCTTATGTAAGATCACTATCTTACTTTTTTTCTTTTTAGATATTTCTTATCAACCATTCTTAATAAAGATAATAACCAAATAGACAAATTATCAATTTCCAAAATAACAATAATTAACAACGATATTGATATTTGGACAATAAGCATATATACTTTTCTATGTAACAGTGAACAAATAATAAGAAAGAATTATTTAGAATATGTTATTTTAAAACTTAAAACATTTTCAAAGGTATAACTGACCTCACATATGTAATATTCAATTATATTCAATTTAATAAAATAACAATAGATAATTCATAGTGTAACTTTAATCTTAAACATCTTTAGAAGATATATTATGATTTTTTAAAGGGAAAAAAAATGAGAAGAAAGGTTAAAAATATGTTGGATCTGAATGAATCTGATTAGATTCTATTAAAAACTTCACGATCACTAAAATAATAACAAATTATGTATATATGTTGGTTATTTTGGTATTAAATGCTATTAGAAGTTGTATTATGTCATTTTCACTAAAAATGTGGAGAAAGAAATAGTTGAAAATATGTTGGACACAATAATTTAAAAAATTACGTGAATCGTAAAAAGTGAATTGAATCGTGAATCGATTGTAAATCGTGCGACTCACTAGAGATTTACTTTCAAAATAGATTCACACATACTATGCACTATTTTTTAATTAGTCTATAAATACACATAAAAATTGAAAGGAATTTGTAAATAATTAGTGTAAAATTAGAGATTAGTGAAGAAAGATTGAAAAAATGAGAAGTTTATAGCCTTTGATTTGGTTTTTTTTTTAAACTTTTGCTTTGAATTTTTTGGTTTTAATGTTTTTTGTCTTAGACACTTTTTTTTTTTAATAACCCTTTTATTTATTTTTTTTTATTCACTTAATTTATAATACTTTTTTATTTTTTAATTTTACTTTTAGATTTAGATTCACTTAATTTAAATACACTTAGAAAATAATTTATTGTTTATTCTTTTTAATTTTTTTTATTAATAATAATAATAATAATAATAATAATAATATTGGTAGCAAACAAAATATAATAACAAAAAATCAGTACATATTTGAATTTATAAATTTTTTGTATTAATATTTTACTTTTAATTCTATTTAGATTATTAGTTATTAGATATTCATGTAAAAGTATTTAAATAGAAAATATGAACAAATTCCAGGATCTTTAATCACCAAAACTGAGGAAAAAAAAAATGAACAACAAAATTATAAAAAATTAAAATTGGAAAACATATTTTAAAAATGAAACCAACGAAAATGGTTCTTATTTAAAATTTTGGCATCATACCTTTGTTATTAAGTGCAATGTAAAATATTATAATTTAGAAAATTTAATCTAAATAAAAAGAAATTGTATGAAGATAACTAGCAAATTTTTGAGATGCAACACAAATTTCTATTAAAAACGTATGTGCTTTCCTCTGTCTAGATTTGAATGGATGTATACAACTTTAAGATTCAACCAAACTTATTCACAGCGATTTGATCTATGATGGACAATTGTAAATATTATGTATATCAATATAGAAGTAAGGGTAATCAATGGGATGGGTCGGACTTACCCGCCCTCAACTATTGTGTCCATGTCCCATATATTAATGGGTTTTTCGGGATTTTGATCAGTCAGCGGGTTGGCATGTTTTGGGTTTATTTAAAAAAATTAAAATCATGTTCCACCAGTAAGCCCAAATCTTACGGCTAAAATCAAACTGAACCGAATTACACATTTTTTATTAGACTTATATTATTAAGTTTTACACTTTTATTTTTTCATATGATCAAATTAATTAATACTATTAAAATAATTAAATTAAAGTATAAATCCACCAAATTAACAAATTATGACAATGACAATGTTGCATGTTAAAAGTTGAGGTTTTGGAAGATATCACTATTCATTGTCAAATTCAATTTTAACAAATTGTGTTTTGTGTATTTTTTTTTTTTTAAATAAAATTTACAAGGGTAATATGGGCTGTTGTAGACACTCTATTTTGACTGACCCTAAAAGTTTGGGCGCTTGTAAGCATTCTAATGATGAAATGGTAATTACTTCATCTTTATAATGTTTAAGATTGCATGGAGTTGCTATATAAACTTATTTTGGTAAAAAATTAACTTTTTGTGAAAATGACCATTTTACCCTAGACCCATTTTTAGCCAAAAACCAATTTTTTAACCCCTAAAAAGAAAGAGAGGCCCAATTGTACATTGATCGAATATATTTTTCAAAATTAGTGACTAGTTTTATCAAAAACATCGATCAGAATGCAATTCAGGTTTACTTGAGCCACAAGCAAGCCAAAGGCATGGGATCCCGCACTTGTGCATGCATGTATGGAAAGTACAACAAGGCAAAATGTGCTTGCGCACGTTAGTTGTTAGTGCGCATGTCCAAGTGAGACAAAGTTATTTTTGGTAACTTAATCTTGGTGCATTTATGGTGGGAGACGGAAGAGAAAGCAATGAGGGTTGCCCTAACTTGTCCTGCACGCCTCTTGGTTTCTATATAAGCACCCTCTTCCCCTCCTTTTCAAGGGTTTAAGATTTTGTAGAGATTTTGTGAGGACTTGAGAGCAAAACACCACCCTTCTCTCTCATTTGACCTTAACTCTAAAAATAATTATCGCAACCCAAACTCGTCCCGATAGGTTTAGTATCATAACCGGCCAGTAATCCTAGGATTACCGAAGGCCTCTGAACAGGTTAAATAAAATTAAGGGGCTAGCAAAAACAAATATCAAAATATAATGTCCATAGAGCTGTGTAGACATACACGAGACAAAAAAATTAAAACTTAATTTACATACTTTAGACGTCATTCACACGTCACCATATACGTACAGACAAACAAAAGACATGTTTAGACTTAACAAAAGAAATACAAAAAGGTCTTTAACATTGTTCACAAAAACTTGACCACATCAAAACGGGAACCTCCTCGAGAGGCACTGTGGTTGGCTGACAGAACGGAACTCCAGGCAGTCAACTTTAAGCTTGTTCACGCCTGGTCACCTACATACATAAATACTATAGTGAGCTGGAGCCTAGTGAATAACAACAGAGTAAAGGGTTTATAATGATGTCCAAACAGTTTCATAAATTAGAGTTCATATCAGAAACAGATTCAGATTCACATAATTAACCAGAAATCATAAGTAGTTATATGGGATACATCCATTAGCTATCATATCAAATTGGTCTTGAGACCCATATGCATAGTCGGTACCGACGAACACAAAGGTCTATATCTTGTGCACAAGTAGTCCTGGTATTGGATCCCTTAAGCGAGGGCCATGTGAACATAGACCACGGTATTGTTTCCCCCGAGCAAGGGCCATATGATCATAAGCCATGGTATTGTTTCCCCCGGGCAAGGGGCTATGTACATATTGGCCACGGCATTGTTTCCCTCAGGCAAGGGCCATGTGAACTAAGGATGCCACAAATACATTTTAGAAAATTAGACATGCATTCATTATTCACAAAATAGCATTTCATAAACCAAATCATATCTTATCATTTTGAGAGTACTTATAATCAAATATAGCTTTACAAATTTGTTACTCACAGATAGCTCCGGTAGCAAAAATAATCAAAATAGTCAGACCAAACAGTCTATGGTGCGTGACCTACACAAACACATAGCAGATACACATTGAAAAACCGGCCCAGAAAACACTTAACTCATTCTTTTTCCACCTAGGTGTGTTTCTAATCTTTATCCTCAATATTATGTCTTAATTAAGGCTTAGGAATGCCTAATATGCAATAAGGATGCCAAAATATAAGTGGAAACACTTAGTCAAATTTGTTGAAAATAGGGTCTTCGCTTGAGCACAACTTTGGTCGCTCGAGCGGTTAGCAAAACTCTACAAAACTTCTGGGAGCACTCATTTTATGCTCGAGCGCAATTCCTACGCTTGAGCCGAGGATTAAAAGTAAGGGTGGTCGTTTAAGCGCAGGTTCTGTCACTCGAGCCAACCCCAAACTCTACAAAAGTGTTGGGAGCTCGCATTCTTCGCTCGAGTGCAGATTCTACCGCTCGAGCGAAGCCTGTGAATTCTGGAATTTCCAAATTGCACTCCCAGCTTCAAAACTCAAATTCACCATGTCCAAACACATTCTTTGGGCCCAAAACTTGAGAAAAACATGTCTAAACTTGTAATACATCAAGGATTAAAGATCATTTCATAAAATCAAGGCCCAAAAGCATGTCAATTGTTCAAAATCAAACTTGAAATTGTGAAAACATCACATGCATGTAATGATGTAAATTCAAAGCTTCTAAAACATGAGCAATTGAAGGAATGCAAGTGAAACCAAGTTGGATTCTTCAAAGTAAAGCTTCATGCATGTGTGAATGTTTGGAAATTGAACTCAAAACTTCATGAATTATGCATACATGCATGAACTAATCCCAAATTCCTTAATATAAGCTCAATTCTCATGTTTAACCA